CGTCTAACATTTATATAACGCCAATGTTTTTTCAACAAAAACTCAGCTACAGCGCAAATGAACTCTAACCCGCCAGTTCAATATTTTTCCATTCATATTTCTCCTTAGCAAATTTTGCGTTACAGAACATGGGTATTTCAGATGGGTTAGCAAAGAAGGCTCGTGAAATGGGCCAATCTGTTGTGGTTTTAGTGTTGGTACCACTGGTGCCAGTGGTGTTGTTCGCGCCACTGGCAGCTTATGGTAATGAGGATGCAAAACGACTGTATGATGATTTGCTGGTCAATTATAATAAACATCGGCGACCCACTCCTGGACCAAATATTCCGGTAACGATCAAGCTGAAGCTACGACTTTCACAAATTATCGATGTGGTACGTCTCATCAGTTATGCAGATTGAGTCAGCTTCATGTTATGCAAATTTAACTCTGGGAGTTTTTGATACAGATTAGGAGTTATAGATTAGGCAACAGGTTAGAATTAGCAGTCTAGGATTATCCGCATAATCGATGTAGGGATTAGATGATGGCACTAACTGTGTCGAGTCATTTTTTTAAATGCATCGAGCTAATAAATAAGCGAATCCAGGAAGGGGGTGGCGGAGGGGGGAGGGGGAGTAGGGAAGGGGATGTGGTAGGTCTTTTGCCCCCTCTCCCTCCTCCTAGCGGCACAGGCACCAGTGCTGCAAAAGCCTGGATCTACAGCTAAAAATAAGTAACTTTAAGTAGCAGTGTTACAACTCCTTTCCTAGTTTTTGCATAGTTCCAGGCTTGTAGGTGACTCTCATCTCCACCCCCGTTGCTCCTCCTTTCCTCCCCCCTTCCCTTCCCCCTCCCCGAAAGTCCATCTTGTATTCACATATGAGCCAGTAACATTCGCCATCTTTTGTTGGCGTATGGGTATTTTTTGAAGTTCACTTTTGTTCCTCCTCTCAGGACTATCACACAATTGACACATGACGCCTACCAGAAATATAGTCCAGGAAAATCGAATCATAGAACAGTTTACTGCCACTTTTATTGTAATTTTGCTTACAATTCAAAAAGTCAAAAACTCCTATATTCGCTCTCTGAGGGACAGATACTCCAGAGAAGTAGCCCAAGTGATAGCAAATGCCATAGGCAGCCATCGACTGGCAAAACCGCCAAATCACTCCAATTTTTTTTGTTTTCAGGCTTGTTCACTATTATCGTTAAATTTCAGCACGAGATTGATCAAATAATGACATGCAGCGTATGGTTGAAACAGGTCTGGATCGACAACAAATTATCATGGGATCCGAGAAGTTACGGAGGAGTGAGCGTGCTTTATGTCCCCTACGAAATGATATGGGTTCCCGATATTGTCCTATACAACAAGTAATTGATTAAATTATTTTCAGATTTAATTGTTAAGAAATTAAAATTACAGAAAGACGAAAATAATAAAAGCTTCGAAAAAATCGAAAAAAGAAACTCTTTTGGTATGCCATTGTCAGTGGTATCTGGCCAGGATTTTTTTTTATAAAAAGCGGAACTTCCAAAAAAAAACTCGTTAAAAAAAAAAATTCAATTTCCTAGGAGTGCGGATTCGGAATCACGTTATGGCTCAAACTGGGAATATTTTATCTTGAAAATTATTGACCTCATACAGTATTTTTTTGATTAGCTATATTTTGTAGCACGATCTTCAAGTTGTTCAGCCAATAACTTCTCCAGTTAC